AAATATCATATAGCTGATCTGTTGTACAAAAGCATATAAATACTTATATTCAACATTTTAAATTGAAATATCAACTTAAGTTAATCATCACCCATCCATTTGTAAAATCCGTAGTGTGCCATTTTGGGTAATCTAAAGGAATTTCAATTCTAGCATGATAAGCAGGCTTATCATTATAAGATGAATTATGAGTAAACAAGACGTCAGGAAATTTATTTTTATCCCAAAGTCCAATTTTTACATCTGGACATTTTGTAACAGAATATGCATTTTTTACCAAATGGAACAAAAATAGAACAACTGTTGAGTAGTTCATTCTGCAAAAATGCAATATATTCTTAAGTTTCTGATAAAATATAATAATTCATAATTGATCGAAAACGGCATAACGACATGTCTCATTAAAAATCACTCAAATTTTCATTTGATATCTAATTGAATTTCATGCCTTTTATATAAAAATTTCTCTAAGTTGAGAGAATAAAATCGAACAAAAATACGAAACTAATTATTAAATTACGAACATTATCAAGTAAAGTGCATTGAGTAGTAAATTTACATGAATAAATACAACTCAAAACAAATATACCTAGAGCTTTTATTTCAGTAGTTGAAAATAATGGAATTTTTTTGTATAATTTTTCAAAATTAACAATTAATGATGAAATCACACCAATCTGCTCAAATGACAAAATATAAAAGTCGGGAATTTTAAACAATTTACAATAAATATTGCTCACCAAATTTCCTGAAAAATTATTATGACTAATTTAATCAAAAAAATATTTAGTAAGGAGGGGACTGGAAGGTTAAAGCATTATTTTATCTAAAAGCTACATCACATTTTAAGTAGGCCTACCCTAAAAGCAAGCATCCTACAATGAATATTCTTTCCAGATTGTAAAAAATGTAAATTAGTTATGCTAATAACTTATATAAATATTAAAACAAACAAAAAAAAACATTCTGCTTTTTATTCATTTGACGTCCTTTTTTTAATGATAAAAAATGGTAAAGTTTTTATCTAGAGTTAATTGAATACTGTTGATGTTGCTTTTCAAAACCTTTGTCAGTAAAAGGCAAGATTAATAGGAGACTGCAAAATATTCTGGATTCATACTGTCATACAATGCTGCATAAAATACAGTTTATAGTTTACAAGTAAATTGTATAGCTCTTGCTCCGTAAGAAAAGTTTAAACGAGTTTGATTTAATCTTAGTAATAAAGTAATAACTTATGCTAGTATGCTATTTATTATATATGTTAAATATTACCTCTGACAGCCAGGTATTGCAGACATTTCTTGGCCATAAACCGTATTTTAAATAAAAATGTTAGGAGTTCAGGTAACGCAACAATGTTCCATTAGTGTTTATAACCAAGACAAACAAACCAATCTAGATAATGAAATATATATACATATATATATATATATATATATATAAAGTGGACGACAGGTATGTTGGAACACCTCAAATTTTTATAGGCCAAATATTAAAAATCTTTTTCGTGATGAAAAAAGATTATTATTTTTATTTTTTTAGTGTTTAATAATAGATTAAACCTGCAATTTTATATAGATTTCTTTAAAACAGCAGTTAGGTACATTTTTACATATTTTTTTTTTATAGAAATTACCATAGTTTTCTGATTTTTTTTCTTATTTGGCAGCATGACATGTTTATTGGAACTATGTTCAATAGTTAAATTTTTGGTCTACTTTTGTATGTGCCCACCCTCTCTTTCTATACATTTGCTTATTCTACGGCCCATTCCCCCATATAAGCCTGGCAACAAGAGTGGATTTCTGTTGATAACCTCATAGGAGCATTTCTTAATCTTTTCCCACAGTTCATCCTCTGTCTCAAACTGTGGACCATCATAGACCATTGTCTTGGTCAGATGCCACATGTTCTCTATTGGACTTAGATCAGGGCTCCTTGCTGGCCAATCTATGGGCTTGTTATTATTACTTTAAAAGGCCCTTTTTGTTTTTCTTGCAGCATGACAGCCAGTATTGTCTTGCTGGAAGATGTACTGCCTGCCCATTTTTGCCTCAATTTCTTCTATGACAGGCAGAACATCTTCCGCAATGAAGGAGCTATAGTTTTCAGCATTCAGCTTGCTCCTTATCCTCCAGACTTCAAATATGCTGTCAGAGGTTATTAACCCCCACACCAATACTCCACCTCTCCCCATATTTATTGTGACCCTGAAATCCTTTTCGCTGTTACTGGTCCAAGTCCTAAAATCGTCAGGTCCACTTAGTGAAAACCTAGCCTCATCAGTACAAATAACCCTAGACCAATCTAGATTTTCGCTAATAACTTTGAGGCAGTACGCTTTTCTGAGTTTACAGTCTTTGGAGGTGAGATCAGTTCTTTGTCTGACTCTTTTATATTTGAAATTTTGTCTTTTCAGCTCCCTCTGTATTGTTCTTATGCTTACATCTACTTCTAATTCTTTTAATATCTTTACTGCTGTCACTCTTTGCTTGTTATCTTTCAGTTTCTTTAAAATTCTTTTCATCCTCTCTATCTCTCTGTCGGAAAGCTTCTTCGGACCTCCCTATTGTCTTGTTCTGGCTTCTTATACTTTAGTTTGTTGCTAATTGATGATGGTGCCATTCCTAAAACTCTTGCTGTTGCCCTTAATTTGCCTATTTCACTATATTTCTTGATTACCAAATCCCTTATATCTTGACTCCAAACCATAATTAAAAAAATACAATATAAATTATGTACAGTAATTTTTAATATTCAATAACTAATTAACTTAACTTAAAACAGGAAAAAAGTTGAAAAATTTTTTGTTTGAGATGTCTATTTGAATGTCAAACCAGATGTCAACTCAATGTTCCAATAAACATGTTGCGCGGCCAAATAAAGAAAAAACTTATGAAAATTATTAAAAATTTTTGCTAATAATCTTCACAAAGGATAAGACAGAAAACGTCCCCAAATTCATGATTTAACCCTAACCCTAACCTAGCCCTTGTCTCTCCTAAACCTTTTTGATTGCTCCTAACCCTTAGATTGAACCCAGTTAGGGGGGTTCAAAAAATAAATCAAAAGCTGCTTTACCCCTCCTAACCATTTTTCAATCCGAAATGTTGCTTTCAAAAATCTCATTTGGGGACGTTTTCTGTCGGCCCCCTTGACAAAATATTATCATTTTCTTAAATTTTTTTCAATATTATGTCAATTTAACTCTTTTTCTATATAAATTTAGACAAAAAATACTAATTTGCAGAGGACAAACAATTTTAACCATTAATTAAAAATTGGCCTATCAAAATTTACGGTGTCCATATATACATGTCATCCACTTTATATGTAGTCAACTAGCACATCGTCTAAATTTGGCAGCGAAATTATCGTAACGTTTTATATAATTTTAAACCTGTTCTTACCCCCTTATCATTCAGTTTGTGTACGAGTAATACTTATAATTACTGCTATATTACCAGTATAGACTTTAAAATTTAACGCGCTGTACTGATAAGTCAATGACGTAGAAAGGACTTATATCCGCAACTACATATATATATATATATATTACTTTTTATACTAGTTTATTTGACATTCGAACGTAACAGCTTCCATAGCTCAGTTGGTTAGAGCGTCGTGCTAATAACGCGAATGTCCTGGGTTCGACCCCCAGTGGGAGCAATATTTTTTTTCTCTTTTTTGTCTTTTTTTTTCAATAATGCAGGGATTCTTGGAAATGGATGGGTTCACTAGAGACTCTACAAATGCAAAGTCTAATTGACGTTCTCAAAGTCAACTCAGTTGCTTTAAATTTCTGGAATTATTAAATACAGCTAAAGGTAGAATTATAAATATGCAAGACTTATTAACTGCACGACTGGAATATTTCTATTCATGTTCTTGAACCATCAAAATACTCAACTGGAATAACTCGAGAACTGGATGTGAAAACAAGACTTATGGACAGCTATAAAAGAGCGTCGAAATGGACAAAGGAGAAATATCCAAAAAATGTTTTACATTTTTCTTATTAAATTATCCTTATTATTTAAGAAATGATTATTTATTTGAATCTAGTTTTTGGAAGTGTTAAAGATGTTCAATTATCCGATAAGTTAAATGAGGTGATCGACACCTATGAACATGCAATCCTTTCGATATGGCCCAAAAATCGTTATATAATTGGATTTCTAGAAAAATATTTTATAATTCCACTTAGTCATTTACCAACAAGCACTTCGGATAACGTCTTTTTAGAGTTGAAAAGAAAATCCTAATCAAGAGAAGTGAAAGAATTAATTAAATTCAAATGAATATTTTTCTCCTTTTTGACTATTTTCACTTTTCCCTTTTGGGTTTTACTTCATTAGAGTCAAGACAAACTTCACACTCAGGAATTTAATGCACCAATTGTTGACCTAAATGTCATTGATTTCTTTGAATAACAGACTCCGTATATGCAAAAAAATTTCTTTTATAATCTTAAATAAATAACTGTCTGTTTTTTGAGCCACAGTAACTTTTGGAATTTTTCACATAGCCTACAATGACTAGAAATTTCACCATAAAATATATGTAAAAATGTATTTCTTTGAACAGCCGATAGGATAAGAACTTAATGTAGACTGGGTGAAATAATAAAGAATGTATAAAGTTTCATTTATTTTTTAAAAGAATGCATCATATTTTATGATATACTGTATTTACAGTTGACATTATTAGATATGTATGGTTGATCAGTATCCATTTGAAGACACTTTTATCATTTCTATACCAGTGCCATCTATCCGTTTATTTGAAAATTACAGTTAGAACTCAATTAAGGATGACAATAAAAACTATTTTAGACATTAGTAGGTGAGTAAACTGTTTTAGCTTCCTGCAATTATTTACTTCTAATAAAAAAATAAATTATAAAATTATATTATTTTATTAATTTAATATCCTATTCATATTATTGTATTTTTTTAAGTAATATAAAATAATTTACAACATGTGAAAAAATCTTCAATTTACTGTCAACTCTTTGAATGATGAAAGAATTATTCTACCTAGTTTCATTCTATGTTTGTCACAGCATTATATTACAGTGTTTTTTATTGCATTTTAATATCAAATTGTTTTTTCTCCTTCAGATTATTTCTGTTTCAAGGACGACTTTTGTAAGTTTAGAATGGGAGATTCAAAAGATTGCATCCTCTTCGAATGATTCTTATAGTTTAGATATAAATGCAACATTTTCTCTATCATATTTTACCGATTTAAAAGATTATTTTATACTTTGGAGGAATTCTACTAAAAGTAATTTCAATTTGGATTATTATGAAACTTATTATTTTACCAGTTAGTATTACTTTCTTCTTCCTTTATAGCCATCCTAACCTAAAAACTATCTTGTTGTTTCCTTCTTTAAGATGTAAATGCTGGAACAAAATTAGAAAATACTCACTACGTGAAAAATTCAATAGATTTTCTAAAAAGTAACTTAAAGTTTGACTATTTCATTTACAACAAAGATGTTTTGAAATACTACGAAATATGTCTAAGGATATTGAAGATATCGGCTGGAACTGAATCTGGATATTGTATTCAATTGAATGACGAACTGTCGGGAAAAATTGAAAATATACCAAAATTTGTTGAATGGGATGAAACTATGGATAAAAGTATAATCAGCTATTTAAAAGGAGAAAGATTTTCGTATTCAATTGATTTTTGGCTTTATCAAACGAAAGTCAATTTTGAAATAATCAGATCATATAACAAAAAATTGAATGGAAAGTATCAATGGTCAGGGTACGGACATTCTATAAATTTGAATACTACTTATAACAATGAGAATTTGGGTCAAAATATTACTGGAGAAGTTTTTATTTTAAAATCTAAAGATAAAATGCATATTGTTAATGAAATTTCTTTTGAAAATACAAGCAATTCTATAAATACTGATTGTAGACTGAGCTTTCTTATTTATCAATTCGGAGAAGATTTATCTACATCAATTGAAGATGATAATACAAAAATTGCATCATTCTACTCAGCTAAAGATTTACTTATTAAAGAAAGAAGCAGGTCAAGAATCTTTGAAAATTTACATCCTTATTTTCAAGGATGCGATTTCAAAACAAGTGATGGTTACAATGTAAAAAAGTCAATTAATTTTACCCTTCCTGTATTATCTGGTAAAATAAATTGCTTTCATTGCAAAGTTCAATATGCTTCAATGGATGATATATATTTAGAAATTTACAAAGATAATAGGAAATTATCAAAGAATACTTGGATAATGAAAGATAAATTACATTCTATGGTAATTATTTAGTTAAAAATATCTCTTGCCATTTGAATTTCTTTGTTTTAATTCCAATTTCTTTAGATTACTGTTGATTTACCATATCCAACAATTTCTGATGAAGGACTTTATGAATGTCGGGCAAGATCAATGCTAAATGGAATTTTGCCAACAGCTTTTGCTAATGTACAAATTTATCACAATAAAATCTTCTAAAATCGAGTTACAGCGATCATTCATATCTTATATAATTGGCGCTTTATAAAGCGGCACTCTTTCGGGATTGTTCTATATTTACGGATTTACTGCATTACCAATCCGTCTAATTTTTATTTTCCGTTGTGCTCATGCAGATTCGATCATGCTTTTATAGACGACAGTTAGGCACTACTCAATACCTGTTCTCACAGTCATCGATCATTTCTCTGTAAAAATTTAAAATTGATTAATACCATCTTTCATATGATAAAAAAATCCTGTGGAGGGCAATATCTGTTCTTCTCTATTTAAAAAGATATAAAAACGTAAGAAATCCGTGAAAGAATTAAAACTAGATGCAAGAGAAAGTGCGGCTATATAGTTTATAAAAAAAATCCTAATTCCATCATTATCTTTACTTCATGCTTTCATTCTCACTAATCTTTAATTGATCAAATAAAAGAAGCTTATACAGCTGGATTGAGATTAGTAGGAATGTAAATAGTCCAATGCAGTAAATAAATGATTTATGAATTAGACTAAAAACTATACAAAGTCATAACATTTTCTGGTGCATCTTTTACCTTACTACAACTTTCTAAAATTGCCTTCGCTAATTATCTCTCAAGTGACAAGACTTTATCAATCTGAATAACTGGACAATAGTTCTACAGCTGGATTCTTTACAGATAAACAATTATTCATTTTCTTTAAAACTCTCTCACCGATATAATTATTTATACTGACTCTAGATTT